GGGAGAGAGAGAGAGAGAGAGAGAGAGAAAGAGAGCGAGCGAGTGAGCGAGTAAGTGAGTGAGTGAAAAAAGTAAGCAATTGCACTTTGATTGCACGTGACCGACGTAGTGGTTGTGTTAAACGTGGTAATCGATCGAAAAAGTCGCATACCTTCTGTGGGAACTTTTCTTCTTTTTGTGTTTCTTGTGAAACTTTTGTCTATCTGTGTAACTTCGATTTCCACTTGGGCTTCTCGATCGTGGCCTAGACCTTTTACTGGCCAAGTCTGCGCTCTTTAGCCTATCCATCAAAGAGTTTCCACCGGTTGTCCTCGAATCGCAAGAGGATTTCGCGTCGTCCAAAGACGGCGAAGGGGATGGCGACGGAACAGAATGCACTTCGTCTGAATCGTCTTTCCTTATCCCTACCTGATTAACTGTAGACGCCGACGTTCCACTACCTTTTGGTAAACCGGAACTCTGTATCTGACTCAAAAATGCTGCTGCTTTCTTCTTTCTTTCCAACTGAAGTTGCCTTTCCCTCGAAGTAGCAGCCAATTTGTCCCTTGCCGCTGCGACTAGCTTATCCTTGATTCTATCTTCGGCCTGCTTGTGTCTAATCTCTTTTTGACAATCTTCCAAAATTTCGTCCGTTAGGTCCACCAACTCCTTTTCCTCGTTTTTCCATTTTTTCTCCGACTTCCATACTCCACCGACATCTTTGTCAATTGTCATCCCGAGGACATTCAACGAACCTTGTTCGTTCGAATCTTGTGGCGAGCTTGGCTTCGAATTTCCATCTTTGCTCTCACCTTCCATCTCATCATCGCTCTCTTCCAATGGTAATGCGTTTCGCTTCTCTATTACTCCGGTTTCTCCGTCCTTTGGTTTTTTTATCGAAAACGATACAGTCGTCACTTGCTTCACTCCTTCCGCAATCGTTGTTGCTTCTTTCAATCTTGGTTCGCACTTTTTTTTTGCTTGTATCATCTTTACTCTCTTCTGCACTTCCTCCATTCTTTGTTGCTTCTTCTGCAACTCTTCCAGTTTCTTTTGCTTCTCTTCTTGTGGCTCCTGTTTCTGTAATAGTTCTTCCTCCGTCAATACTTTCGGATTTATAGCTCCTTCGTATATCGTCAACTTATGCGCGTAATAACCGTGATATTGATGTGACAATTCGAGAAAATTAAATCTCGGATCCCCTTTATTTTTTACGATCGCCTCGAAATCTCTACCATTTTTTGCCACGTAACTCGCCATTTTGTCAATAATTATTTGTACATCCGCTGGTGGAACGATAAAGGAAGGCCTGCTTAATTGTTTCTGAGACGTGGATCCATACGGTACCAACGGTGGTTGCGATTCGTTCGTGGTAACTTGCGTTGCGATCATTTCATTTGCGGATGAAAGAACGTTTGCTACATTGATTTGTAGCGATGACTGTATCTGTCCATTTGGTCCGTATATCACCGGTCCGTGCGAGTACTGTACCGGGTTGGCCATTGTTGTTGCCGTTGCTACTGTTATTGCCGTACCCGGAGCCGTGGTCGTAGCCGTAACAATAGACGTAGGTGTAGACGTTGGCGTAGGAGTAGACATAGCCGTAATCGTAGACGTAGACGTAGCTATAGCCGGTGCCATAGCCGTTGCAGTTGCAGTGATCGAACTCGAATAAAGACTATAAGTCTAAAGGAAACGAAACAGTGCGTTGTTACATTACGTTTAATCCTCTTTCGATCGTTCTTCTTTCCTTTCACGACCTAAATTCCTTACCTGCCCTGGCATGGGATGATAATATCCTACACTAGTAGCCGGCTGTATTGCAGTTTCCGAATGTTGAGACGGTACTGCTTTCGAAGGCGGTGGTTTCCCGGTAATTTTATTTACAAGCATCGAATAAGCACAGTCCGCTGATGGTTTGTATTGTATACTCGGAATGCTGGGTGCCTAAAAACGCCAATCAATTCGAGATCCAGTTGAATTTAAACAAAGCGTACATGAACGTTGTGAGCGTCTAAAGACCCTTTACGATCTATGATTCCTGTGTTTGAACCTTGTATCGCGGAGATTAGTTCAACTGTAAATCCAGTACATACCGCTTCTATCTTGGTTAACGACGACGCCAAGCTCGGATGAAGATATGGTTCGTCGTCTTGATCGGACGATCCTTCTTCATGTTCTATCATTAAAAACGATAAAGATTAATAAAACATTCAGCAGTATACAGACTTACTAATGCTTCCTATGCGTTACAAAGATTCATACGGATTAACAAATATAACGTAGAAATACTTACGGATAGAAAAGCTAAGTAGAATCAAAGTAGATGTGGGTAAATAAATCCTGCTTTAAGTCTCTTCGATTATTTTAACACGGCATAACAATGTCACATTCGAAAATGTTGCGATAAGATGTTCTCTTAAATAAAACAATATGCATACCGGATTCTTCTTTCTCCGGCTGCTTTTCAGGATTATATTTCCCAGTCTTGATCGCATCCAGTATATATCTATAATATTGATGAAGCCGACCGTCTATCGACAAGAAGGAAAATTGTGGATTATTCGCCTGCTTCGCTTTAATCAGAATCTCCATTTGGCCGCCTTGACGACTTATAAACAAGGCCGTTTTCGTTATGATGGCATTCAGTTTTTGTGTCTCCGGCTGTTAAAAAAAAGCAACGACGACGATCAACTTCGTTTTGTCAATTTCGCGATACAAACGATCCTTTAATCGCTTCATATTTTTCATTTACCAACCAATGAAATACCATCTGGAATTTCTAGATCAGGCGGTGGAACAAAAGCCTGATCCTCCTCTTGTGACCCTTCCGATCGTTTTGGACTTTGCGAATCGTCACACGCATTTTTCGAATTGTTCCCTTCTTCGTTGTAGTCGTATGCTACTTGACTGTACGTGTTCTCTGAATCCAGAGCTTGATGTAACCTTTTTATTTCTTCCTCTGAAATACGATTATACGTGTTTTGTTTTCGATCCAATTGGTGATAACTGATATATATATATATATATATATATATATATATATATATATATAACCGTATTAGATGCGCAATGAACATACCATGATACACAGAATCTTCCATTTCACTACTGTATAGAGACCGATAGCGTTCTTCGTCGCATAATTGCTCCACTTTCAATTCGTCTTCCGTCAAGATTGTTCGTTGATCGAACCCACCTGTCGGTGGTTCGTATGTCCGTAAGTCCCCCAGAGCGCCGCGTCCATCGTATCTATACACATACATAAACCGATTTAAAGGTAGAAGAGATGGTATACGATTTGGAGAATTTGCTCGATTGCGGCATCTGAAAATTATGTCACGAAGCAAACCCTGCTTGGGTCAAAGTGAAAATTTCTCTGAAATAGAATATAATTATACCACACTCGGTGACATATTTCTTTTTTTTCCTCCCGTTTTCTTTTTTCTACCATTTTCGTTATTGATATACATCAATGACTGCAAATTGTATGGCATTCTGCGAGGCAATTGAGTAGAAACGCCGATGTTACAACATTACAATAACCACGAATAATAATAACAATAATAGCAATAATAGCAATAATAGCAATAATAAACAACGATAACAATAACGATAATCATTCAATATCGAATGCTCCATTCATACAAATGTTATCAGAAATCTCGCGGTAACTTTCGTAATTGATCTCCAAAGATTGCGCAAAACGAGTATCGACTGCAACTTATTCAGTAGACAACGAATGATGTTAAATTACGTTTCTCTTGTTTCACGAATGAATAATTGTTTTATTCATCATCGTTCAACGATCTTGTACGAATCCAGAAGCAGAAGCGAACAGGAGCCTCGTTACACGTCTACGCCGGTACACCCGAGTCTAAAACGCTAAAATACATACCATGCTGAACGATTGTAGTACTTACAATCGTCAGCCTGCCGTTTGTCTCTCTACGCTGTGTCTCACCTTGCTGCTGCGCCGACGGTCAGCCACATACACCAACGTCACGAGAGCACGTTGCTCTATGGCCGTGCAGAGCGCGTATATATCGCGCTTCCACACTGCCTGTTCACAGCCAAGACACCTGCAGAAACCTTAAACAGTCTCCAGATTGCTTATCCGTACGTTAACCATTCGTGATTGAATTTTTCCAACTGCTGCACTTTGCTTAGTTTCGACTGATATCGTTCTTCTAAAGGTTACATGTACGGTGCATTTATGCAAGAATAAATATCCTAGATGATAAATTTGTCTAGGTTAGGGAAACGGACCTGTCTATTTTCAACGTGCTATCGCCCATCCATGGTATCAAATGTTTTCCTTGATCAATCATTTTCGCCTTGTCATCATCTCGAAATAATTTGCAGCTATATCCAAACACCAACAGCTCCTGTGGTTCCTCTTCTCCATTTTTTTTACGCAGAATGCCCGAATCTACCATCCAACGCTGACTTTTCGGTGTCGCCATTTTCCACCCACTGATACTACTTGCGTTCTACTTTGTGTATGTTCAAGGAACAGCCAACAAAAGTGAAGTTGGTCACAAACTTAAAACGTTACCCGAAACCTTCCGACAATTTGCAACTTTTTGTCACTAGAGGGCTACGACTATTAAACCGATATCTATAATTTCTCTCATTTTTCTAAGACTCAATGGTAGTAGAACAAATATAGCAATTTGAAATTAAGTCGTCAGTTGTTCCAATTGATTTCCACTGGACCCATAATTGCACGCAACATTTCGCCTTTTTCTGTATCTATATCCGAATCAAAGACGTACTTCGTATGATTTTAATTATAAGCCTTCGGCTTTTTTAGCTTCTCAGGTTTTTAATATTATATACTTGTACACGTGAACTTGTATATCCGATCAATGTTACGATTCCCTATTTTCCTTATCGATTATATATTCCACTTCTTTTGTTAAAGTATTCCACGTTACTGAGAAATTTGTAAAATTTTTTTTCCCTTTAACCATTCATATATTACCACGCACTAATACATATAGTGTCCGATTTTGTACATACATGTGTACATATACGTCGATATGATTAATCGAGAATCAATTACGTGACAGCCATTTATGTAATATTAACGGAATAATAAATTTGATTTCCTTTTATTTCATGCTGATTTCAATTCTTTTAATTACCTATACTACTGTAAATACATGCATTAAATATTTTTCAATCAAATAAAATTGCTAGATTTAAAAAAAGGGTTGGAAGTATTTACCTTGCACTAAATTAAAACGTACACAAAAATATTCGTACTAATCATCGTGTTTTCTACAATAACCGAGGAATATGTATATAGGATTAAAACAAATTTCATATGATTTACCAAGTGCAAATTTTGTACAAATTTTGATACAATTCTAAAGATGTATTATCAACTAATAACATACTTAATTTTAGTATGCTTATGAAATATTCGAGTCAAAGGTATGTAATATTTTGGAGAAATTAGTAAACGAGTATCGTTAGAAAATTAGATATATTTACGTCTTGTAAAATAATAGCACACACTTATTCGACGTTTTTATATCAAATTTAAATTGAGGCATGGTTTTGTTTCCAGAATAAAATTATCATAAAACAATAACAATAACTGTTTGATCGAAAAATCCATATTGGAATTGTTTGTATATTAATTACACGTATGTTTAATTTCACAAGATGCTTTTAATGTAATAGTACAAAAATAAAATGCAAATTGTTCAAGGATAGTAACTAGTTCAGCAAAAGTATGGAATGTAGGTAAATAATGATCGTGCATGCGTTATACATTACGATCCTTGATATAAAACGATATCGGTCATTTCGGAAGGCATGTTTACAATAGTTATGTCATTGTTCATTGTATCGCGTATTATGACAGTTCGTAATAATGACATGTACAGTATACTTTTGGCTTTTATATTATACGTTTCATATCAGTAATATCATTGATACATTTATATATTTCTTTTACGGAAAGCAACTTTTCTTTTCAAATAATACACTGCCTATAATATACCTCTCAAGTGATTTTAGCTATAAAAAGGAATATCATGTTCAATAAATTGTAAATTCAGACCACGATACTTGTACGTTCATATAATAAGTGCATATGCTCATGTATACCATTAAATTGTCGTTTTTTTTCTTTTCCTTGTGTAAGCACATTTTAAAGTTGCTTCGATTTGCAAATTTTAGTAATTGAACGTGCTATTTGCCCGAAAGTAACTTTTATTAAAGCTGTATTTCCTTTTCATAATGATCGAAAATGTGTTAAAATTACCGTAGCACATTTAAATATTACAATAATTAGTAAGTTCGGTAATTATTTGATATTTGGCCTGGTATAAAAAAAAGAAAAAGAAAAAAAAAAAAAAAAAAAAAAAAAAAAGAAAAAAAAAAAATGAAGAAAACATGTTCATGTGGAAAAAACAGCATAGCGGAGGATCAATTTTCTAATCGCATTAAACGACGATACATTACATGAAAAGGGTATTGCGAGAAACATCAGCAGAAAGAAAATAGTCTTAAATCCTCTATCAATATTCGGTTTGCGACAAAAATGCTTAAACGTTAATCAAAATGAATATTAAAATTGTGCAAATAGGAACATTTCCTATTTCTCATAGTAGTTACAAATGTTAAAATATTAAGTACCTTAAGAGTATTAGATAGGTAAGGCATGAATGTACGTTTGTTCACGTACAATCATTTATGCTCTCGATTGATTGCTATTACGAGATACAAAAATTATGTCGCACATCGAGCAGATAATTTTAAATTATAGTTCCCATTCTTTCTTAAGAAAAAAAAAAAAAAAAAAAAAAAGGAAAAGAAGAACGAAATGCACAACTCGACTGTATCCTAGACAAATGTGATAGATGGCATATACGAAATAGAGAGTTAACATTATTTGTTTTATACATGTAACTGAGCACAGTTGAACGGTGTATCTCAAACAATCGTCGAGCAACAGTCAAATGATGTGTTGCATAATAAGTAATTTATCATGTAATTTGGAAATCTCAAGCACCTATTACCTTAAGTGCTATTTATCATTTACATTTACTTTTGTTATCAAATAATTTTTTCCAAAGATCAAATTGCTCGCTGTATTTGACCATGTGGATACTGATACTTCGTTCAACATTGCACACACTATACGATATTTTTTTATTTAAAAATTCGTTATCATGTATCCTTTTTATTCCCAATTTATCCGCAACTATACCAGTTACAAAAACATCTTCAAGTTTAAGATATGTTTGATCTAATGCAGCATCGTATAGTTTACGCACGATGTCGCTGGACAAAAGATAAGCTGGTCCAGTAGTAAAATCTGGAAAAACAGTATGTTTGAACTGTGTTTGGGATACATAATACTTGCTCTTTTTACTCCTAATTGGTTTCCATTTCTTAGCTAGCCTACCAAATATTACGTTCTTATCTTTTGCATGCATAATTGCAAAACCTTGTAGACGTGGAACATTAATAAACATGTCGTCATCAGTCTTTAAAATAAATTTAACCTTGGAGCAATAGCTATCAACCCATTCGAGAGTGGAAATCGTTTTAAGCGTCAAATTAGAGTAGGAATCTAAAAATTTTCCACGTATCACATCATTGTATGTTTTTTGCTCCTTTTTTAAAATTGTTTCTACTCTGGAGTCCACAGTTGCTCCTAACATGAACAAGATACTGATATCGCTTCTCTGACCAAAATGACCCCATGTTTGTCGTATTGCCATCCTAGCTTCTAGATGCGTCGGTGCAGACATTATTATTATTACCAAATCCATTTCTTTACCAAAATTCGGACATCTCTCTGGAATTGGTACCGTATGGCCAGCTTCATAAATAGCACGTGCAGAATACTCATTCAAAACCACAGGTGTTTCTTTTGTTTCATTCATGACTTTTTCAACAATTGATACACTCGCAACTTGAGAACTAGAAGATGTTGACTGTGTAGTAATCACAGAATTTGAAAGATTACTGGCATTTTGTACATTATAGGGGTCAACGACAGGTAGCCCAGGAGAATCATTCTTGGGCAAAATTCCAATATGAACCTCTATGCTGGCATTTGGTCGTTGCTTATAAATCTCTTGAGATGCAGGATGACCTAAATAGTAAACAAATATTTTAAAAGATGCGGCTGCGCATAGCTTTTACCACTAATGATAAAATAAATATTAATTTCGTATCGTGATAGTAATCATGAATTATTATTAACTAAATGTACAGAACAATACTCACTGACGTTTCGTGGTACGGTATATTGAGGGACATCGTAGTACGTAGTACGATAATACGCGTAGAAAGTCAAGCAGATCAATCCTAGAATAAGGGTTCTTAACAGACGACTACGAAGATGTAGTATCTGATACATGGTAACTTTTTCCGCTGCCCGTTTGTTTCTACTAGATTAAATTTTTCTTCTCCATCTACATCGTAGTAACACTATCTGATGGAGTATAAATGAGGATTTGTTCGACACGGGTTTTCTCAAATTCAACCTTGGTAGCAACAATAGCGAAATTACTTGGCGGGTATTTCGATAAATAGCTTACTCTCATATTGCTTCACCTAAAATTATCGTATGAATTTGCTCTGATTTTTCTTTCACTATATTATACTAAACATTTAGAACAGATGGTCGGTGTGACGATCATACAAATTTTTTTCTTATGCAGCCTTCATATTCATCTTTTAATTAATATATATCTATCTTCCACACGTCATATCTTAACACATACAACTTTTACAGCACTGTCGGAAAATAATAATAAATATTCTACACGCACAAATTAAAGTAACGTCCATACATATCGGTGAATAGAGGAATCGTCCTTACTGCCATCATATTTACTTCTTCGTTACCATAATATCGATATGATTTATATCGATAACATCGAATTGTCGATGATCGATCATTATCGATTTCATATCGACTTCATATAATCGAGACTTGTTTTCAACGAGTTTTCAACCTAACCAAACCTTACGAATAGTATATGTGTACACTCGCTGCTATTGAATAATTGCGTTTCCCTTTTTCCCCTCAAGATGTCGTTATTACTCTCTGTACGTTCTCAATCTATCGTTTATTTCATGGAAAGCGGGAGAACGATTAAGCGATCCGGTAGCTTTCTTCTGATCAACGATTTTCATTTGTTTTCCATGGTACATGTAAATTTGACAAATCGATTCATGTGGTTCAAATCGAGTTTAGATGTGGTTGCATATTGATAAAAAGGAAGATAACCGCAACATTTCAGGGTATTAAGAAATGAAAACCAGAAGAAATGAAAAAAAGCAAAGGAGGGAACAAACTAGAAAGGAATGCGAAGATAGAAGTGATCGAACATTAAATATCTTACCTGTTTCTTCATGAATTCGAGAGTGTAGCTATCAGGGAATATGCGCGATTGATCGATAACCTATTTTTCTATAGTTGGCAGACTGCCAGAATTTCAAGTGAATGCGCTTACTCGAAGAAGGTAAAAGGCGTAACCTTATCGTAGGTCACGAATGTTTTTATAATATCTGGATAAAATTATATATCGTTCAACGAGGCAAGTTGGAAAAGAAAAACAGACGCTTAGGTGATGAAGCACATAGAATGTCAATATTCACACTCGGTGAACAAAAATAGATTCATGACAAAGAATCATGACAAAATTGTCAAATCGTTGCGTTGCAATAGAATTATCTGCAATCGAATTTCTCTATTTAATTTTCATTTTATTCGATAGCAATCTATACATTTTTGATTAAACACAACGTATTGGTGATAACTATTTATTCGTTGAGATGAGCATGAACTTTTCGACAAATGTATGTCTTCTCCGTATCAAGTAATACATATTTTACATATATTTTAATCTTTATTTTGATTATTTCATTAAGCATTTCCATCTTATTCGAATAAAACATTTTCCTTCTTGTTACATCTATATCTCGACGTATAAGCTCGTCTTGACTGCAGGACGACAGAAAGAATCGATTGAAAAATGAATTTACAGTGGTAAAAGGTTTTACTTTCATCTACATACTATGTATGCAAGAAAACAAGGTATACAAGAAATTCGTGCTAAAATACTAAAATACATGCTATTGTAAAGTTCTTAAAGCAGAGATATTTTGAACTAGAATGTAATGTTTGTATCCAAATTTCCGATTCTAAGTTCTAAAGTGAATCTACTTGACACGAAACACCGAGCAAGCGAATCGATCTTCAGCGAGAATTCAACCAGTATTTTTTTTATTGCGATTAAATCATATGTGGTTTTTCTTTACAAAAAGGAAGAAAAAATAAGACACAGTGTCTTGGCATATTTATTAATAATTGCTTTACGTATGTTAACGATCTGTTTTTAAGAAGATGTTAGGATTAAGAAAACAAAAATTCATATAACAATGAAATTGTGAAACATTAACGAAGAAACCGAAGAAAGACAAATAAATGAATTATTTGAAACGGTACATCGGTCCCAGTAACATCGGATGACCGCCAACACATTGACAATCGCGCGCACCCAATCGATGGTCCACTGCCACATCGCTTCTGCCTACAGTCTGTCTCACACTCCATTCTCAAATTGTTCTCCCGCTCTCTAACTCAACATATTTTATGCTACTTTGCCAATCTTTTCATCTTATTCTATTTTATGATATTCGTGAAGAACATTTTTCATTCTAGTTACGCTATTTAAGACCTTTAACGTACGCTTAATTGTTTCTGTGAATATAATACTTTGTCTCCTTCTTGAATTATTTATCATGAGAAATATGCATTCGTAACTAAATTCTTCCTGACGCAGTAATATTTTCATTGTTATTTCATTGTAGTTACTTTCTAATGTAGTACTTTGTTGCTTGGTACACGTATACAGTTGGTCCGATTTTACAGTTTAAGTCAGTTATTTCCAGTAAACTTTTTCTTTGGCAATATGTCGTTTCCTTTTTTTCCCGACAATTTGTCTTTGTTTTTACAGGTATTTCCCCAGTAATGTGAACGGTAAAAGCGTCGTCGCCGTGAAAGTTGGAGTCGGAGTCGGAGTCGGAGTCGGAGTCGGAGTCGGAGCCGGAGTCGTAGTCAGAGTCAGCGTTGGCGTCGACGCCAGCGTCAGCATCAGCGTCGGCGTCGGCGTTGGCGTCGCTATCGGCGTCGGCGCTATCATCTCGGTGGTTGGTTAGTAGACGAACGAAGGCGGTCGAGTACGTAAGGGGTATGTCGTGATCGTTGAGAGTTTCAATCCGTCCACTCTCTTGGTTCATGCTTGTCAATATCAGTTGAAGTTTGTAAGCTGTGTATTAGAGAAAATCGACTATTTCTTCTTTTTTCTTATTCGTAGATCGCAGTGTCGCGTTACGAGTACGTTCTGTTGGAAAAAGTAACGATCCGGTATTTGGAAGAGGAAGGAAAATTTCGGAGTGCATTCGAGTACGATAGAATGAACGCAGGATGATCTGTCGATATTCAGGGTCATTGTGGCCTCGTATTGCTTGAAAAAAAGGTTGGTTTCAGTGGGTTCGTAATAACGATCGAGAAAGCTGTAACACGTGCGCATGCACGAAAGAGAGCGAGAGTGCGAAAGAGCAAATGAGAATACGAACACAAGCAAGCGAGCGTGCCAATAAACGAAAGAGAGCAAAAGACAGCGAGATTCACTCCAACAAGTAGATTCATTTCCCAAGTTCTACGTATCGTGACACACCCAACGAATGAACAACGAGACACGATTCGTTCTTTCGATTTATTTTTACGTTTCATAAGCATTTCGGCTTAATCTAGCTTCGGATCATTTTTCCGCAAACACGAGAAAATGCAAAGAAATTTTGAACAAATTTAACCATCACCGTCGAACGCAACGAAAGCAACGAAAGCAACGAAAGCAACGAAAGCAACGAAAGCAGCTAGCAACTAGCGACGATAAGCGTCAATATCAACGGAAAGATATGCAAGTAAGGGATACGCGACGATAACGTGGTATACCACTACCGGTAGTTATGCACGTATCTATTCGACGATTGAAACAAACGTATCGGTAACTGCGTGAATCGTACGTCGATACGGGACACCGGTTAACCGGTTTTTTTAAAACGAACATCAGTTGGTTCTCATTGTTTACGTATTAATATAGTAAAGCCGATTTAATGAGAGGAGCGCGAGTTTCCGCGTTTTTGCTTCGACGAAAAGTAAGAAAATATTTTACTATTCTTTAGAGAAATCTTTACCGCGCGTCAGATTTGCATTATCGATATTCTTCTCACGTGCGGGGGAAAAGAAAGAAAAAAAAAAGCAAAACTGAGGAAGCCGGGAAAATGGGGAAAGTCCGAGTAAATACTCTGTGCACTAGGAATAAGAAGAATCAATACGAAACGCATAGAGGTGGAAGCTTGTCTCTCGTTGAAAGCACGTGCACGCGTTATTTATAGAATAATAAATGCGCGGAAGCGTATAGACGCGAAAATGTTGGCTAACGTAGAACGTGGAAAAAGGAGGCTAGCTAAAGCGGAAACGTACGTGAATATAAAGCGTTGTATATCTGCGCCGCAGCAGGCATTAAGCGGGCGATTAAATTCGAATTTAAACTCGCACTCGGATTCTGACGCATCACGACTTATCGACGTTTCGCCAGAAATATTTACATATCTAGGTTAAACGTGTAGTTAAAGCTCATATACGGGTAGTCGTGGCGAATACGCGAATCATCGTAGGGTGATTTTCGGAATTGACGAACGGAGTTTCGTATCGCGCTATATCGCTTCCGATCGTCGTTTTCCATGCCTGGTCTATTCAACGATTCATGTTGGCGTTTTGCACCATCAGAATCTTTCGCCGCCTCCTTTCTCGCGTTCGTCGCGTGTCCGACGACGTGTCGCGAGCACACGCGCAAGTCAATCTTTGATCGAAGAAGGAAATAGAGTGTCGCGAAAGAGCAACAGAGAGAATATAATGACGAACAGAGACGAACGAATGGTGGCAATCGATAGTGATTGCGTTTGAATGGCAAACGTTTGTTGTTTTCCTGTTCTACTTGTCACTCTTCGACCGCTCGTCCAATTCTTCAACGGTCGCAAGTTTGCGACGATGCATTCCCTCTTTTGAAACTAGTGCAAATAGAAGTGGAGCAAATCAAAAACGAAGAGGAAAGCAAACGAGGGAGAAAACGAGAGAAAGAGAGATAGAAAGAGAGGGAGAGAGCGAGCGAGCGAGCAAGCAAGAAAGAGAGAAAGAGAGAGAGAGAGAGAGAGAGAGAGAGAGAGGGGGGGGGGAGAAAGCGTTTCGATGTGTGAAAATGAAAAGAAATTGGTTCGATCGTAGGTGTGGTGTGGAGGAAGGGGAACGGATCCGTAACCGAGAGGAAAGGTTAGGCCTCCTCGGAAATACGAAAAGTATATTCTGAGGGAGCAAAATGATCGATCCAAGCTCGTCGGAGCCGGAAAGCGAGGAGGATCAGAGTTCCCAATACGCGAGCGGTGTCGGTAGCGGTGGCGGCAGTGGCGGAGGTAGCGGTGGAGTTCGCGTAGGCAGCGGTAGCTCGTACGGATACCGGCGACAGATCGGACCTGGAGGAAATCTCGGTGGCGCGAGCGGTCCCGTGTCAGGAAGCGTGAGTTCGTTAGCATCACCCGGTGGCTCAATCCACGGACCGATCGGAACACCTCGTGCCGGCGCGACTACCGGTCAAGATGCCAGTTTGGACGCATCCGGTCTCGCCGCGGCGAGAAACTCGTTGTCACCCTCGATGTCTGCCGCCCAGGATGCGGCTAATTACGCTCAGAGACCCACCAGCCCCTCGCCCTCTGTCGCCAGCGAGAAAACCGAAACTGATCTCCAGGTAATCGTTTTACTTCTTATATACCACCTTTCCATTCTATCGCTTTTCGCGCGTTCCTCCACTTTAGCTCTGCCTTCATCTTCCACAGGACAAACAGGAGAGGGAAGAAGAGGAAAGAAAGACCAGGATACAGTTATACGTGTTCGTATCGAGATGCATCGCATATCCATTTAACGCCAAACAACCACTGGATATGACGAAACGTCTGCTAAAAGTGACCAAGCAACAACTCGAAACGATATGTTCTCGTTTCCAGGTAATCCTTCGTCTATCTCTCTCTTCTCCGCGTTCCTTATTCCACGAACGATCTCAAACAACCGACGATGTATCTATATCTATCTCTTTTCTATCTCCCGTCAGAAGTGTAGTTACATAAGTACGCGTAATACCTTGTCTTCTGATCGTGCTAAACGATCGAGTACTTATAAATGACTGAAAGATCGGGCATGTGCGAGAGAATGAGATAGGATAGGGAGAAATGAAAGCGATGCAAAGAGGGATAAAGATAGAACGTACAAAAGAAACCTTTCGGGGGAAGCGTAACGCGATGGAAGAAGCCGTATGTCCTCGTTACACGCACGAATTCGTCACGTACGAATAACCTTCACCTTCGACTAATTGATACGAGATAAAGTAACGCGTTCAAATTGATACGCATTAGTCGTAGAATTCGGAGAAAAAGACGAAGAGGAAGCAAAAAATGAGCAAAAATTGAAATAATTTATTACGATTTGCAGGGTTTTCTAAAAGGAGAAATCCAAATAGTGGCGGATCAAGCGTTCCGCAACGCTATTCAGAATTATTACGACGTGTTTCTGACATCGGACCGAGTGATGCAAATGGTGCAGAGCGGTGCTTGCTCGCAACTCGACTTCCGTGAGGTGTTCAAGGAGAACATAAAGATACGTGTTCTACGCTTCCCGGAAATCGATGGATTGAGCAAAGAGACTGTTCTTACGTCCTGGCTGGCCAAATTCGATTGTATCATGAAAGGTACGGGAGACGAGGAGACCAAGAGGCCCTCCAGGATGCAACAACAGTCTTTGATCTCGGAGATGATTCTGCCGAAGGAGCAGCTGTACGACATGTTTCAGCAAATTCTCGGCATCAAGAAGTTCGAGCATCAGCTTCTGTTCAACGCCCTCCTGTTGGATTCAGCCGACGAGCAGGCTGCCGCCATCAGGAGGGAGCTGGACGGTCGCCTCCAAAAGGTCAACGAAATGGAAAAGGTAACGGTCGTTCCATCTTTTTTCCCTTTTCGCGTTTTCTCGTTAAAGCAACATTTGCCCCGTCATTTGTACATACTATATATACTATACAATATATTGGCGATCATTCTCTTTCTCTTGTTTCATAGAATCGCAAGCTTATGCCCAAGTTCCTTCTAAAAGAAATGGAGTCGCTCTACATCGAAGAACTCAAGTCGTCTATCAACCTATTGATGGCTAATTTAGAGTCATTACCGGTCTCGAAAGGTTCGACAGACAGCAAATACGGGCTGCGGAAGCTGAAGCCCTGCAATCACCGTCGCGAGCGCTCCCGCTGCCGGGGTCAGGGTTCTCTCGTTAAACTGGAGAGCGACTCCGCTGACTCGGAATCGCAGCTAACCAAAATGGACGTAGGCCTGACCTTTCAGCTCGCTGTGGTAGTCGTAGAGGTCAGGGGCTTGAAGAGTTTACCACCGAACAAGATAGTTTATTGCACGATGGAAGTGGATCGTAGCAAAAAATTACAGACAGATCATGCCGAAGCTTCAAAACCTATGTGAGTAGTAGCATGCCTGAATCCTTTGAAAATTTTTGTCCGATAAATTGATCTGGTTGGATCGAGTGATACCACTGCTTATTTCGTATTTTTACATCCATCTCTCATATTCTCCATTAATGTATCTTCTCTCTCTCTCTCTCTCTCTCTCTCTCTCTCTCTCTCTCTCTCTCTCTCTCTCTTTTCTCTCTCTCCTATTTTTCTCTTTCTCTTTTTCGTTGCGTTAATTTACAGGTGGGACACGCAAGGCGACTTTACCACCATGCAACCGCTACCACTAGTCAAGGTACGCCTCTACACCGAGAATTCGGCGATGCTTGCTCTCGAGGACAAGGAGTTAGGCAAGGTGCACTTGCGACCAACTCCGTTCTCTTGCAAACATCCGGAATGGTACCGAATGTCCGTCCCGAAGAACTGTCCTGATCAGGATCTTCTCATCAAAGTTGGTTGCCGAATGGATAAACCGTTCAATATGAAACACTGCGGTTATCTGTACGCAATGGGCAAATCTGTGTGGAAAAAGTGGAAGAAACGATACCATGTGTTGGTTCAAGTTTCTCAATACACGTTCGCGATGTGCTCGTACAAAGAAAGGAGAAGCGAACCGTCGGAGATGATGCAACTCGACGGTTATACGGTTGACTATATCGAACCTCTCTCCGCTAATCTCATGGTCGGCATGGATCTAGATGACGGAAGGTAGATATTATTCGCGTATGTAATAGTAGATTATTAATCCGATCCGCATCAATTTCTTCCTTCTCGATGGCTATATGATGTAGCAGACCAACTTTTCAAATCACATCTTCCTATGCACACAGTCGTTTTTCAAATTCGTTGGAAAACATTAAACCATGTATCAACTTAAATATAACTATACGGAAGAAATGACAGAATAACTAGGCTGCCAGCGTAATAAGCAACGTACACTAACATCACGTGTTATCGCAGATTTTTTTTTCATTGCAGATTCTATTTTAACGCTGTTCGCGAAGGGGATAGTATAGTGTTTGCTTCAGATGATGAGAACGAGTGTCAGACATGGGTAATGGTTATGTATAGGGCGACCGGACAGTCTCATAAACCGACACCACCAGTTTCCATTGCGGACAAAAATTCCACCATCAGTAAGATACAGGGTGACGCTGATCGAGCAAAAAAACATGGAATGGAAGATTATATTAGCGCCGATCCTTGCAAATTCGATCATCATATTCTCTTCAAATTTCTACAAAATTTGATTTTGGATTACCGATTGAACGATCCGTACTGTTCTCTGGGCTGGTTTTCGCCCGGCCAAGTATTCGTTCTCGATGAATATTGTGCTAGGTAATACGATTAGAAGATTCAAGAAAATATATCTCTATCTTTCAGACAGGGTTCTGTAAATTTTCATTCTTATCCATTTCCTTTCGTAGATACGGAGTACGCGGTTGTTTCCGACATCTTTGCTACTTGAACGATTTATTGGATAGAATCGATTGCGGACTCATGATCGATCCAACTCTGATCCACTTTAGTTTCGCCTTTTGTGCCACTCACGTTTATGGTAATCGTACGGATAGAGTCGGTTCCATCACCCACGAGGAGAAGGAAAAATTCCAGGAAATCAAAGACAGGCTGCGGAAAATTCTCGAGGAACAAATTACCAACTTTAGGTAAGAAACTTTAGCGATTAACAACTGCTGAATTTTTCCATTTTTCTATTCGTATCTTCCTATTGCTAACTAATTATGAAAGAATATCGAGTTCTCTTTGAAATGTACAGATATAGCTTTCCTTTTGGTCGACCCGATGGTGCATTAAAGGCTACTTTATCCTTGCTGGAACGAGTAATGATGAAAGATGGCGTTAGCCCTGTTCCTCAAGAAGAAGTGAAGACTTTGATCAAGAATTGCCTTGAGAAAGCTGCTCTTGTTAATTATACCAAACTATCTGCCGAAGCGAAGATCGATGACGATTTTAGTGGTGAGGTATGCGTTCCGCCCAGCAAAAAGCTCGAAGATCTTGTACATCTCGCTGAACTGTGCGTGGATCTGCTTCAACAAAACGGAGAGCACTATTCGAAGGTATTAGTTGGGTTTCTACAACTGAGTGTCATCTTTCATAGATTCTCGAGAACTAAGATTGCATATGCAAAAAGGCAGATGAAAAGACAGGCGAAAACCATAACAGAAATCGTAATCGCATTCACGCGGTTGCCATTTTTTCACAATCAATTTTAAATAACTAAACTCAGCAGCCGTATTGACATTTTATTCGCATTGTAAAAACGCCCTTCAAATTGCATTCGATACGATCGTTATCTCGCATATACTAATTTCGGTAATTGGTAGATTTGATTATCGGATTATTATTTAGAAATCGGATACGATAAACAGATTTGATCGTATCGTCGTACACTCGAGGATTCCTTACTTAGGGCGATGAATTATACGATGGTCTCATCGTCCTGAGTTTTATATACGCTATTTGTACCTCTCGTATGTATGTGTGACGTCCAATATTTTCACGAGCCGCTCCTACTACACTGTACCGCAGGCGTTCGCCTGGTTTAGCGATCTTATGGTGGAGCACGCCGAGATCTTCTGGTCTTTGTTCGCCGATGATATGGACAAGGTGCTTGCCGAGCAGCCACGGGACACTTGGGACAGCTTTCCGCTCTTTAAAATCATGAACGACTACCTCAGAGAAGACGGTAAGACGGTATTTCGCAAGTTACATTAAGAAGAAACGCGGGATTAAACAGGGAAGGAAAGATAATGAGAAAAAATAGAGACAAATCATCTTCGTTTCGGTTTGTAGATAATTTGAAAAACGGTAGGTTTCACCAGCATCTTCGGGACACATTTTCGCCAATGGTGGTGCGTTATGTGGATTTGATGGAAACCTCGATCGCACAATCAATTTATAAAGGTTTCGAAAAGGAACGTTGGGAGATAAAGGGAAACGGATGTGGCACATCTGGTGAATTATTTTGGAAACTGGATGCTCTTCAATCTTTCATCAGTGATCTTCATTGGCCGGATCAAGAATTTCGTCAGCATCTAGAGCAACGATTAACGTTAATGGCATGCGACATGATTGAAACTTGCATTCAACGAACAGACGCTGCGTTTCAGCAGTGGCTAAAAAAAGGAGTAACTTTTATTTCGACTGATTATATCATACCATCGGAAATGTGCGCAATGGTGAACGTTATTCTGGATGCAAAAAATCAAAGCTTCGAACTGTGCACCATCGATCGTGTCGACGTTGTAAGTTTGTTCGTTTTTTATTCCATTCAGTAACCACTATTGCGTTCGTCGTGTTTAATCGCGTCAATTTTTATCACAGTAACTACTCGGGATATCGATTTGCTTTCAGCACCAGTATCATGCTAAGATCGATGATTTGATAGAAAACACATCGGCCGCCATGACCCAAGGAATGATCAATAAATTGGTCACAGTTTTGGAAACTACCTTATCCAAGTTGTCTCGTTACGACGAAGGATCCCTGATAGGCTCCATTCTCAGCTTGACGGTAGTTCATCGTTCTTATTTTAAATCGCTAGCAAGCATAATTAATCACACGGAAGTTAACGTAATGTTTTTACTCGAGTCATTTATAAAAGATCTTTTCAGAAGGTATCGGGAAGTGGAAAAGAAATGGGACAAGCCTATGTAAGCTTTACGAGAAACTGTATGGATCAGATTCGCGGTAAAGTCTTGGACGAACTGTGGATTTTAACATTCTTCGAGGTAGATAAACAACTGAACCAACTATTTTCACTGTAAAACCATTCCTTCGTTGAATTTTTCATTAGCACAAGCAAGTCAAATTTCTATCGTTTTCTTCATATTTTCTCTTCTAGCAATGGTATACAGCGCAAATTCAAGTGCTGTGCACATGGCTCTCGGAAAGGCTCGATCATAGCTTACACCTCTATCAATGCACCTGTTTGGCCCACATCGTAAAAAAGATTTACTCAGACTTTGAGCTCCAAGGTGTCATAGCAGAGAAACTTAATTCGACAACATATCAGACTATATATAAGAGGATGCAAACGGAAGAAGCGACTTGTGCCTTAACGAGCGTTCAGAACGAAGAGTGAGTTTCGTAATTTGATCGAACGATGATTTCCTCGATACAGTTTGTTTCGACGATATAACGAGGTCGTAAATTAGTGTCACAAATGGCAATATCGATTGGTGCCGAAATAATATCGTCAACGTCCCCGTTGCGAAAGACCATGTACAAATTGCAGCTTTTACGATTTCGCTATATCACCCAAATCGAGTAGATGCGATAGATACGAATCGAGTAGACTTAAATATATATAATGATTTTTTCATGCCCTTCGTACTTGCAACAAAGATTCAACTTTTAATTTTTTGTATTCCGTAGAGGTCTGTCAGAGAACGGTAACGACGACGAAGTAGAACGACCAAAACCAAAGGTAACGGTTGTTGAAACGGTCAACAGCGACGACGCAAATTACATCAGCAATGTTACTTCGAACGTTGTTGAAAAAGTTGGAAGCATGTTTGGCAAGGGCATTGGTGGCTTTTCGACAAAGTTTGGTGGACCTAGCTGGTTTTGATTATTCTTCTCCTTACCACTATTATTGTTACTTACCATTTCCCATTTATACTTTTCTCTTCTTGTCATTCCCACTTTTATTTTCTTTATTTTCTTCTCCTTCTTATTTTTATTTCACTTTCCCTTTTCTTTATTATACTTAACAATCTCCATAATCTTTACTATCCTTTATTTCTTTATCGATGTTACCGGTATTTTTATTATATTTATCACTGTTGTCGTTGCTGTCATTGTTGGGTTACAGTTGCGATGACGACGATGATTATTATTATTATTAGTATTATATCTTCTTCTTCTTCTACGCCTTCTACTTCTTCTTCTTCTACTTCTGCTTCTTCTTCTTCTTCTTCTTCTTCTTCTTCTTCTTCTTCTTTCTCTTATTATTATTATTACTATTATTACTATTATGATTATTATGTGTATGTAGATGTATTTAAATGCACATTAGATCCTCTTGCATATTTGTGATTGTTATATAGCATTCTAGATGATAAACAAGATTCGTATAATTTAATTTCAATTTTTCCATCTGTGGCTACAAATAAATGTTAATTTACAGTATTTGTTTTTAACCATTTCTTCTTTTTTTCATAGTTATGTTTCCAATTTTCAAAAATACTTTTTCCAAAGATACAGTTGCTATATGATCATGTACCTATTTATTTTCAGTATAATATTTTAATTATTATTATCTATGTATACTATATTTAGATATAGGTTGGTATTTAGTTCTAATGATAAAAAGAGATTTTGTCTTAGACATTTGGAAATGTTACAATAATGACGATTATTGATGATAAATAAGATTTCTGTAGTTTTACTGTAATTTTTGCACATTAAATTGTTAATAAAAATGAATATACAATATTCGCTCCTAATTTATTTTCTTTTTGTATTTATATTTCCGATTTTTGAAAAATAGAATATTTCTCAATAAAATAATTCTCAAAATAGAATATTTATTTGTAAACCCAGATAATAAAGAATACTTTTCGCAATTTAAATAGCTTTGAATATAAAACTATAAACCGCTATGCATACATTACAACCTCTGGAATTAAACTACGAACATTACGACTGATATATTAGATGTATGCCTGTAGTATTTATGAATGTTCGAGGTATTTATGAATATCGTAGTGATTGCTAAGACAAACATGTTCAAATTTTGATCCGTTTTAGAATATCATTTCAAATCTTAAAACTATAATATAATGCCTAATACAGTTAAAATAATTCATAAAATCGAATTTAATTTTCTATTACATTAATTTTAGAAACATAATTCATAAAATCGAATTTAATTATCTACTACGTCAGTTTCAAAAACATAATTCATAAAATCGAATTTAATTTTCTATTTCATTATATTTTATTTCTATTTTTATTTTCTATTCATAGAAATGAATTTAAGTTTCTATTCCATTAATTTTATAAACATAGTTCATAACATAAAATTTAATTATCTATAACGTTAGTTTCAAAAAGAATTCATAAAATCGAACTTAATTTTCTATTTCATTATATTTAATTTTTATTTCTATTTTCTATTTTAGAAACATAATTCATAGAAATGAATTTAATTTTCTATTACATTAATTTTAAAAACAAAATTCATAAAATGAAATTTAATTATCTATTACGTTTGTTTCAAAAACATAATTCATAAAATCGAATTTAATTTTCTATTTCATTATATTTCATTTTCATTTCTATTTTCTATTTTAGAAACATAATTCACAGAAATGAATTTAATTATCTATAATAACGTTACTTTCAAAATCATAATTCATAAAATAGAATTTAATTTTTTATTTCATTATATTTCATTTCCATTACTATTTTCTATTTTGGAAACATAATTCATAGAAATGAAATTAATTTCCTATTACATTAATTTTAGAAATATGCAATAATTAAAATAAAAATGCAACAAAAGTTTAAATATGACTGATATATGTATTATATATGCTATATATACTATATATACTATACCATCAAAAAACATATGAAAATATATGCATATATATATATATATATATGAAATATGTAACATTAAAATATATGTATCTTGTAAATTTAAAATTACAATATGTACATACATATAACATACTTGAAATACATTAAAGAGGAAAACGATATTATTCTACAAAATAAATGTAATTAATTATTATTCGAATAATTCAATTATGCAGAAAGGACGTAACAGTGAATTTCAAAGCCAGAAGAAGTGATTGAAATGAATGGAGAATTTCTGTCGAGATGCTCACCAAGTTTCAACCCTCGACAGTGTTCGATTCCACTTGGGTGTATCGATTTCATACCCTGAAGTGCTCACAGAGAGTTCGAATCTGTTTCGTCTACATTCGAGTCTCCTTCAGACTGCGTCTTGTGTTCTAAATACTTGTATAGACGAGTAGGTTCGACTCTAGCCAATCAATGTTTGAACCTACTCGCGAGGCACTTAGACCCATCGCTACTGATAACGTTCCCACACATTGCTGCACCCTAGGTGGAATAGCCAAATAAATAATAAACCATCGCGAGGATTAACGACGTCTCTCCAGGTAACTTATAAAGGCGCTATACAGGTATACAGGGAAAAATTTTTCAGTTTATTATCTACTTAATAAATTCTGGTTTAATAACTGGTTTAATGCTGAAAACTGTGAGAACAAACAAAGTGGTTTTGCAGTAAATTAAAAACCATGAAAAAGCAAATTATGATGCTGAGTTATAATAAGCACTGAATTTAGGTAAATATTGGCAACTTTTAATAAATTTTTAATAAATATTTTACCAAATATTTAACAAATATTTTATCTTTTAATAAATATTGTATAACAATATTTTATCAAGAATAAAATATTAACTTAAATGTTAATAAATAAATATAAACAATTGTTTCCTGCTGTATTATTTTTAGTACCAGAAATTTCTTGGTCATTTTCCAGTTATTTTTTTTACTTGTACTATAGCCTATAGCTGCTATAAATTTATACA